GCGAGAAAAGCGGCTCCGCGTCTCCCTGGTCTGCAGACCAGAAAGCCGCGGAGCAAAGCCGCGGAGGGACTCCGGCAGCGGGGCAGCCCAGGCGCGCCTGGGTTGCCCCACTGCCCGAGCCCCTCCGCGGCTTTGCTCCACAGACCAGGGAGATGCGGAGAAAGCCCCGGAGTACACGGGCGGCAGGACCGCGAGGTCCCGCAGTCCGTGTCCTCCGGGGCAGCCCCATTCGTAACTTCGGATCCGACATAAGTCGGATCTGCGTAAGTCGGGGACTGCCTGTAATATGTAAATAATTGCCAGTGTCCCATTTGTTAATGTGTTACTCCATTACTTCTACACTAGCATCTGCAACATGTGACACAAGCAAAGCTCCCATGAATCTTTTAAAACATTCAGAAAATGCTTTACTGAGAGGGATTTTTGTCCAGGCTTGTCAGTTAGGCATTTTCAGAAAGAGGCATAAGATGTTCTCTATCTTCTTTCCCCCGGCTTCCAGAAAGTGGCACTAAATGTATTATAATAATAATAATCTGTGCAAAGTAATTTCTCAGTAGTGGCCACACAGTATTTGGCTGTAGAAATTAGTCTACATTTCTAGTAAATAAAATAGCTTTCTAACTAAAGTTTGAATGGTCTGGCCTTGAGCCATTGGGTGGGAAAACCAACAAATAGTATTAATGTGCACCTTTTGTGTAGGATAATGTGTGAGGGTTTTTTTTTTTTTTTTAAAGCTAATTATTATTTACTTACTACAACAGTCTCTAGTATAGTCAAGGAAGATCTGTGAGATGCATATGCTTTCAGTTGACTTGCTGTCACTTTTGCCAGCCTGCAGTCTGGTGGCCCCTTAAGGGGTCTTAATGTGTGTATGTGTTTAACTGATCAGATGAGGTCCTGAAAACAGGAGCACTTCAAACTTTGGGATCGTATGATCAAATAGGATGAGTAGGAGAGAATGGAAACTTTTCATTTCAGGGTTTTGGTGCTTTTTTTGGTTTTGTTTTTTAAACTTCAGTAGTGCTAATCCTACCATCTCAAAAATCTGGAGTCTGTCTCCCATCCCCCAAACCAATATTTTATTTTTAAGTGGAAGCTGAGCACCTTGAATTCACATGACTCTAGAAGCTGAGGCTTGGCATTTTTTTCTTGAAGCATCATGGGACTTGTGATGGAGTTGGCAGCATTAAAAACATTTGTTCCTTTTGTTTGAGATTCCTCCCTCTCGTGTACTGGAAGATTCTTATTGCATTGTCCAGATGCCAAGTTGGAAATTCTGCATTTAATTCAACTGAACTAAGAGGATCATATTTCCTGTGTCTGTCACTGCTCTTAATCTAAACAATGAGGAAACAGGTATTGTGCTAGGTGGCGAATGTAGGAAACAGAAGTAACTATGCTGGAATAATACATTTTTTAAAAAATAAAAGCTAAGCCAACTTGAATGCTCTGTGTGAGAACAAAGTTCTGTTTTCTGCTAAGCTTGGTTGCAATCTGAATTAAGTGCTCAAGAAGCAACATGCTCTCTGTAAAACTTACTGTTTTAACATTCAACCCCAGGTGACTGTACAATATGGTAACAGCTCACTGGAAGTGTAAAATGTCTCTGAATACTTCTCAGCTATATACAGTGTGTGTAACATGTTAAAGAAATACAGTGATGCATAGGAGACCTGTGAGGAGGATATTTGCATGTTGTGAATGAAAACCAAAGATAGTGATCAGTGGTTTCCAAAAGAGAGGTTTTCCGTGATCCTATTGTGTTAGCATAGATCAGTGTTTCCCAATTTTATTTGGCCACAGAACCCTTTTAAACTCGAAAGAATTTTGCGGACTTCCTAATAACAGCAACTGGTTTAACAGCTAAAGTTTCGACTTTGTCTGATGCAGCGCTAGTACCGGTATATTCGTATTCAGTCACCCATGTGATCCACACTTCCTGAGAGTGAATACGAAGATTTACAGTGGTATATAATAGACGATTGCACCATTGAGTGACTGCGCGTGCAGCGCTGATTAGTAACATCATCATCCCCACTCTCCAGCTAAGCTGGCATTACACAGGCACACTTATTGTGGCGCAAACAAATGAAAATTCTTTTCAATAAAATTCATAAATGCTTAAATATTAATTTTTAAAAAAATAATAAAATGTTATTGTAATGGAATTTTCTTGCAGAACTCTTATTTTCACTTCATGGAACCCTAGGGTTCCACGGAACACCATTTGGGAAACACTGGCATAGATAGTGTGGAAAATAAGTACTGTGGACTAAGATAGCTATAACCCATAGCATTGTCTATAAAATGCACAAGACTTCGTTAAGTAGACATGCTGTGATCCTTCTGACTGGGGCCTGAAAAGCTGCTTCCAAGCTGCTACTCAGATAGTGCAAAGCATGGTGTTTTTAGTTTTATACAATCTTGAATACATTTTAGAGGTTGGGAGAACTGTCAGTAGCCTTGGGGCCAAAGTGAACGGACACCCCCTTCACCATAGCAGATCACAACTGACCTGGGGAATATGGTGATGTTCACTGAAGCCCTGAGCAGATCGTCACTAACGTTAAGCGTTATTTGACTGCTATTGTAGCTAAGACGGATCTTTGGGAGTACCGTGCCTGCTTTCCCTCCAAAGTTTTACCTTGCAATGACCGAGTCCATGGCTGATGAGAGGAGATCTCAACTTGAGCAGTATCTACAAAATGGTATGGAGTCTCTGCTTTAACTACATATCTGGGTTTTCAACTTGTCGCTTCAACAGTTGGATATGTTTATTGCTTCTGCAAGTCATGATTTGTGGGGGGGGAGGCATACCTTTAATGTTGGGACTAAAGTACTTTGGACTTGATCTTGCAGTCCTAGTATGTCAAATAATTCCACTGAGCTCAGAGTGAAAAACAGAGCCTTTGGGCAGTCCCTTCGACATTTTATATCCCTCCTCTTTTCTTTAAATTAGCTTCTCCCCCCCCCCCCCCCCCACCCCCCACATAACCACACTTGAGAATTGTTACAAGATTCATGGAGTTATTAGAGCCTTGCAAGTTTTGTTGCCAAACCCCCCTTTTTAGTGACACAACTTGACTTTTGTCACATCAAAATGTGGACACTCTCCATGACAAATGCCCAGTTTTTGGTGATAAAACTTCCACCTCTGCACAATGCTTTTGTGTCTTCCCCCTGCCTTTATTGTTGACAATCGTGTAGTGTGTACTATCGTAGGGTTTTTGTTGAGTTTATTGACCTCTAGCTTGTTTTGACAATGCTCAATTAGTCACTCTGGCCAGCACTTTGAACTCTGCTGCTCTGCAACCACATAAGCAGATGCGCCCCTCCCACCTGCGTACCACAGGAACTTTAAAAATCCATTTCATGGTGTCTGGCTCACTGTGTAGTGGTTCTCTTGGATCATTGTGAAATGGGTTATTATGGGGTCTTCTCAGAAAACCAGGTGTGTGTATTGCTCAAAACACTCTCCTACTTGGAGCAAGGCAGAGCTTTTGGATCTTATCAGTGTGTGGGGTGAAGAATCGGTGCAGTCACAGCTGCGAATGGCCCATAGAAACTGGGACACGTATGGTCCCATTTCTCAAGCCCTGTGTGAGAAGAGGTGTGAGTGAGACACCCTACAATGCAGAGCCAAGATAAAGAAACTCCGACCGGCATACCAGAAGGTAAAGGAAGCAAACAGCTGGTCTGGTGCTGCACCCCCAACCTGACATTTTTATAAAGAACTGGACTGGGGTGACCTCATGGCCACGCCCAAGGAGGGTGTGAATACTTCCTGTAAGAAAGAGTCAGAAACACTTCTCCTGGAGACAGACGTTACTGATGAAGAGGTGGAAGTGGACAAAGGGGCACGAGTCAATCTAGTGACAAGCCGCGCACCAGGCAGTGCGGAATTTTTTAACTTTCAATGTTTGGGAGGACCCTTGGCAACTGTATGTGGGGCGTGAAGGAAGGGAAGAGACGCGGAGCCGTGAAGCAAAGGAAGAGCTGCAGGGTATGTTGATAGAGGGGTGTGCGAGGAGCCTCTGTGGGTTAGGAAGGAAGGAAGGAAGAAGGAGAGGGTGGGCAGAGGCTGTGTGGGGCAGATAGTCGCTGTGTATTGCAGGGGGGTGGGGGTAGGGTGGGGCGATAAGTTGCTGTGTATTGTAGTGGGGTGAGGGAGGGATGGGCAGCAGCTTGGGAAGTTGCTCTTCCAGTCATGGTGGGGTTGAGGTGCCGGGCGAACGGAGGCTGTTTCCGTGAGCTGGCTAAGCCCGGCCTAGGTCTGTTATATCCAAACAGGAGCATAACTTGCTGGGAGATGGTGATGAAGCTTTGCCTGACGTACTAACTAATCTTCCTCCCGAGGATTCCATGGTCGGGTACCATTTCCCCACTTCAGTGGTATGACGTGCTCCCAAGCCATTCTTCATACCGTGCTGCTGGAGCTAAGGTGGCAGAGTTTGGCTGCATAAGGAGCAGGGCACCCCCTGCATTCACATTTGGAAGCAGAGCCAAGGCTTGCCTGTTAACTTTCAGCAGGGATGTGTCAGCCAGAGTAATGGCAGCCTGTGGACAAGTGTAGGATGATTATAAATTGTTTCCTTGTGCAACTGCTGCACAAGCCCAGACTGTCTTGGGGACCCATGCCCAACACTCGCTCCCTTGCATTTAAAACTCGCCATAGTCGAGGGGTCTGGAGAGATTTGTATTTGCCTCTAGGGTAACAAGAAAAGTGTCAAGTTTTGTTCAGAGGTGTGCATGTTAGTGAAATGTTACCATCTTTATCAGGAATAGTATAGTCACTCCATTGTTCATGGTTACTTTTCCAGACCTTGAGAAGTCAGGCATGTTCGCCCTCAGACAGACTCCATCAACTGAGGGGAAAAAAACAGGGAAAACAAGGGAGGATCTGCGCAAGGAGGTATTGCGTCAGTCAATACTTCAAACAGAGAAAAGAGAACAAAGAGCTACGGAGATGGAAGTGAGAACACGAACCACTCAACTCATGGAAGACCAAAATGAGATGCTGAAGTGTCTTATCAAGATGCAGAGGAAACACAACTAGAGGCCCCACTCTGTAGAACTCTTTTCATAGCAACCATCCACCACACCCACACATCAGCCTCCATGGCTGCACAGGCAAATTTCTTTACCCAGTAACCCTCCCTCTACATACAATCAAGTAATGATTTGTTTGTTTATCCAGCATACTCTAGTCCCAGTGAAATGAGCTGTGAATTTGATATCTGGACATTATCAAAGTGGTTTCCAATAACCCTTACTACCAAATATCCTGATTGAAAGGTATCAATAAAGACAAAGGTGGTGCAGGTTTCCATGAGTTTATTTTTTGTGACACAATCCACACCAATCTTCCTGGCCCCGATGGCAGCCTGTAATATCCTTTGGGTTTCATGGGAATGCCTCGCTCAGGATGAGTAGTGGGGGGGGGAGGCAGGGAAGCAACCCCAACACACAGAAATGTCAGTACCCCTCATTATCAAAGTGGTTCCTCAGAGCCTCCTTAATATTGGTGGCTACCTTAGGGGCTTCTCTGATAACATGAATACCTGGCTGTTCAAACTGTGCATCTAGGTGCTGAGTCTCATTGTTCCTTCCACAGTCACCCTTACTCTTTCACAAATTCTGTAAGGAACAGCATGTGGGGACATGGTCCTCCAATCAATCCAGCCTGCCATAGAGACACACCTGTCTAGCTTTCAATCTCCCAAAAGCACATTCAACAGCCATGTGGTATCGGCTTAGCCTGATGTCAAACTGCTCCTTACTGCAGAGAATTGTGGCATCCATGATTTCTCACAGCAGATGCTGGAGTTTGATGCAAGGACTGTCATTCAAATGGTGCAAAAGTAAGCTGGAAGCCCAGGGAGAAGGTGGGAAGCAGAGGTGGCTGACAGGATGGTTCCATGTTCCTAAAATGCATAGTGCCATGTTGCGCATTCCCACAGTTCTTAATAACAGAAGGTGACGCGAGGCATTGTGGGATGCTTACCCACATTGCTTTGCTTTGTCTGTTGACAGGGTACTGACAATGTGGCCATGAAATGTCAGCAATGGGCGGCAGAAAACCAGGTTTGACCGGTTTTCGCTTTTGGTGACTGCATGTCAGCAGCACTTTTGTTGCCAAACTTTCCCAGTATAGACATAGCCTAGGAAAAACTATATATCTGAAATGCAGGGCTCTGCAGGTATAATATGCCATGCATGAATGTCACAAGCCAATAAACAAATGTAACCCTTTCAGCTACAAGATGTAGGAAGCTCTTAGGCCTTCTGAGGCAACATCTGCTTCATGGCCAAGATTTTCCAAAAACTGTAAGACTAATCTCTTCAGTAACCCCACTTCCCAAACTGCCAAGCACTCAGCAGCTCCTGGTGATGTCAATGGGAGTTGTTGGGTACTCAGCACTTCAGAAAATAGGCTCTTGAATAAATGACCGCAGCTTTAGGCCTTTATATTAAATCTTGGGGAGAAATCCTAGCCCTGTTGATGTCCATGGCAAAGCATCTCTTGACTTCAACAGAGCCAGGATTTCCCCATTAGGATGTGTGCCTAATGCAGTACCTGCCTTCCACTGTATGGTACTGGGTGGGAGTAATCTGAGCACCATCCAATAGAGAGCAAACTCTGCTTTAATCAAAGTGTATATGAATAACTCATTCACAGCTTGACCAGAAGTTTGTTAATGCTTAGGAGGGTGGTGTAAGAATCTTACTTTCAGATGGAGATCCTTTCCGCCCCACTTTCAACTAATTCTGGTTTCTATGCCCTTGTTTTTCAGTAACTGTAGATCCAAGTATTACAAACAACGATGTCTTCATCAGTTTTTTTAGAAAATTACAGCAGGTAAGTATGTTTTTAATGTTTCAGCAACATAATTATCTGCTTGGAACCATTTGACTTATGCTTCATCTTCTCTGCACGTAGGCTGTATTTTCTGTGTGGGCTTCCTTGTATTCATATGCTCCTAATATTGACCTCCTTTGTAAAGCCCTTTGAGATCTACAGGTGAGAATTGCTGTGTAAAAGCTAGGTGTTATCGTCTTGTCCCCATTCTGAATTGTTCCCCTCTGTACAACCTCACCATGCAAATAATTGTTTGCTTTGTTTTATTTATGTCCTGCTGGGATATCTGATGAATCTTTTGCCCCAAAATAATACTCAGAAAAGTCTTTTGTTGGGAGCTCAGTGAAAGGATTATACACATTCTTGGGTTTTGCAAGCATAGAGATTTTTTTGGTTGTGTCAGTACTTTGGGGCGATAAGTGTATTGATGACTGCTGTGAAAATGTCAGTTTCTCTTATCTTGTAACACCGGTGACAGGCAGTTTGGCATGTATATGGAGTGTTGCAACCTGGACTGTCTTTCAAAATCCATTTTATTTGCTCCATAGTGAGGGTAGGGGAGGACATAAGAGGGGAATATCCAGTATAATAAACTCAAATCTCCACTACATTGAAACATCAACCAAAACACTGCAGCAAATGCACAACAAGGCAACTGTTATGACTCCCAAAGTAATCCCCTCCTCCCTGGCCATGTTCTTTCTGGAAGTGCAATACTTTGCATTATGTTAATTTTATGTTCAATGTGGCTCTTAAATTCCATAGTGAGCAGCTCTTTCTGAAAGGAGTGTTTGTCTTTTGTTTATGGAAAGCACCTACCCATTGTGTGACCATAATCCAAATAGCTATTACAAATTCCTGAGAGGAAGTTATGCTTGAAAGAATTTAATACTGCAATGGTTAATGTGTAACTTTGTAACTTATTTTGCTCTTGTTTCATATTTGTTGTGAACTTTAGGGCTAACAAGACTCTAAGCAACTATACAAAGAAGCATTCTACACAAAGCATAGACAAATTCTTTCATCATAAAAATGTGGCTTATTTACTGCCTCTTTTTTTCCAGATCAGGAAATATTCTTGAGTCTGTGAGCAAAGCAGCTTTCTGTATTTGAGTTAGAGATTTATTTGGGGAAGGACTTAGGCTCTGATCCAGAGCCCTTGAAAGTCAACAGAATGACTCAGGATGATTCCTATGGGGGCCTGAATGAGATCCATAAAGGCTGCTAAACAGAGAAGTCTCATCACCATCTGTGTTCCCTGTAAGCTGCGCACTTGTATGGCTGCTTGGAGAGATTTAAATCAGCAGAGCACCCAAAACTGGGCTTTTTATTTCTATTGATGGAGCACATTTTCACATGCCTTGGTGCATATAAAATTATTCCAATTAGAACAATTTTACCAATCCCCCTTTTTTTTTGTCATTTCTTCTTTCAACTACTCATTTCTGATAGTGAGCCTTTTCTGCCAGCATTCTGATTGGGGAAAAAAAACATTGATGCTATGTTGTCTTAACTGGGAAAGTTGGGCACTGAATTTGGAATGGCATGTCCCCCCTACATGTGTATTTCAGGTGTTTGACATTGGCTGTCTGCATTGAGAGAGTCTACTTTGGCTTGGGGCACATCTCATGGGGGTAATGTTTCTAATTATGATTATACAAAAATACATCCTATTAAAATATGCAATGAGAAGATACTGAACACCACATAGTCAATTGATTCCTACATTTCATGGTAGTCTGGAATAAGTCTTACAAGTTTAATACAAGGTCACTATATCCTCCCAACACCAAAATTAAGAAAACTTTCTGTTCTGCTTTGGAATGACTTTTTTCTTGTTCTGTGCTTTTTCTGCCTGGCAAAGGTACTAGTTTCACAGTATTTTTGTTTACAATTTCATCTTATAATTGTTAGACGTGGTACAAAACAGTTTCTTCATAATATACATAGCAATAGTGCTGGGTATATTCTTTCATTATTGGAAAGAGCTAGATTCTGAGACAAACCAGAATGCTATGTGACTGACACAAATCCATTCTCCATCATTATATGTAAGTGCCTTTCATTGGTGAAACTAAAGACTTAACAAACATCCACTTAGATATTAAAGAATCTTGCTTAACAACATGGCTTCGGTGGCGATGCTCCAAATATTTAATAACACAGACAATGTCTTGTAAAAATGTTTATAGCAAAGGAATTGTGTAGTAGTTTTGAAAGCAATGAGTAAACTTGATCCTTCATATATCCTTGTAGAGTCCTCAATTCCATTGCTCCATCTTTAAGACTTGCAAGCATCATTTATTGTGTCTTGCATGACATGTTGAATGGAAAACATAAATATAGTAGTGTTAAGTCTTTTAAAGGCCATATCTACACTACAAACTTTGATTAACAGTGCTTACTTTGGCATAAAGCCACCAGTTAGCATATTGCCATGGGCAGTGGGTGAAGGCAGGGCTGAGGGAGGTAAGCCCCGCAGCCCTGCCCCCAGCTCTGCCCCTTCTGTTCAAACCCTGTCCCCTCAATAGGAGCCAAGCCACCACCACCCCACAGCACCGCAGGGAGGGAGAAGTGGATTGTGGCCCCCATCTCCCCAGCCCTGGAGCACCAGGGAGGGAGGTGTCTCCCCAGCTCTGGAGCACCAGGGAGGGAGGGCACTTTGGGGCCAGCAACAGTCCGCCCCCCAGTATGCCTACAGTAGGTGTTCTGGGGATGGAGTGGGGGTGGGGCCAGGCTGGCAGTTTTGCCTAGCATACCCACCATCCATGTATATTGCTTGTGAACATACATACTTGGCTCCATGTGTCTGTGGAATGTGTACTTGCCGGGAGTACTTGTATTGTTGACATGCAGTGCACTGTGGGTAGGTACTCCACAGCCAATTTGTAATAGTCCCATGCACAGTCTTTTGGGAAGCTTTTTGGCAATGGATGCTGGGGCTGAAACGAGTCACAGAGAAGTGACTGGAAACAAAGGATCAGCTTCTTGGTATGCAATTGTCTCCATCCTATAACTCTGTGCCTCTTTTTTTTCCCCCAAAATCCCACAAACCATCTTTTAGAAGCATGGATGCTGCACAGCTCTGCAGTATTGTCGTAAGTAGTGGAAGCACAATGCACGCAAACCTTCAGTATTAGCAGAGCTGCATGAAAAACTGAATGAGTGGGGAACTGGATCATTTCTTGGAGGACAGATTGCTGTGGGACACAGTGAGAACCAATTCAAGGTGTCAAGGGATTTGTGGAGCAGCTGCAGATATTGGAGCACTGCTTCTGGGCTCAAGAAATGAGTGCTGATTGTTGAGATTGGATCGTAATGTGGGTTTGGAATGACGACTGATGGCTTCAGAACTTTTGGAGACACAAGACCATGTTCCTGGATCTGTGTGCCAAGCTCTCTCCTGCCCCCAGTGCAGGGACACCAAACTGAGAGCTGCACAGAGAGTGGAGAAGGAAAATGGTGATTGCAGTGTGGAAACTTGCAACACTGGATTGCTCCCGGGCCAGTGGGAAGTCATTTTGGAATTGGAAAGTCTATTGCCGGGGGCTTTGTCATGCAGTTGTGCTTTTCTGCAGGGCCATTAATTGTCTCCTGCTGCACAGTACTGTGACTCTGGGTGATATGCAGGGCAAAGTAGAGGGATTTGCAAAAATGGCATTCCCAGCCTGCAATAGATGGCACACAGCTGTCTCTTAGCACCAGACCATCTTGCTGCAAAGTACAGTAGCAAAAAGCTACTTTTCCACAGTTATGGAAGCAGTGGTGGGTCGCAAGGGATGCTTCACTGACATCAGCAAGTACTGGTCAGAGAAGGTGCATGGTGCTTGTGTCTTTCAGAACATAGGGCTGTTTGGAAAGGTACAAGCAGATTACCATTGGGAATTCTGAAATGTCTTGTAGTAGTGATCTTGGGGGACCAAGTCTACCTTTACTTCCTTGTCTTATGAAATGTACAGTAGGCACCTAAGGAAAGATACAGCTACTGGCCCAGCAGGGGCAGAATGACCATTGAATGTGCCTTTGGTAGATAGAAGGGATGTTCAGGATGTTTACTGACAAGATTGGATCTCGCTGGGATATTTATCATGTTCTGTGTGGTACCTGTGAAGCCACGGGGGGAAGTTGCTGCCAGAATGGAGGTGGAATGGCTGTTTGAGGTTGAACATCCAGACACAAGGGTTATCCAATGATCTCATCTATATAGCTCTGCTTTGAGGAAAGCTTTGAAAAAGCCCTTTAACAGTAAGGCATTGTGGTAGACTGTGCTTTTTGGTGCCTCTTGGGAATTGTGCCATGCTTGATGTACATGTGTGAATAGGACACTGTCAATACACCTATTAATGTTGTGATGATTGCTGTACTTTCATTTGTCACAGATCCTATGAGTTGTCATGCTGCACTGTAACAAGTAATTGGTAGCTTTCAGAGCTGCTAGGCATTCTGCAGCATATGTTGTGAACTAATGAAGATGAATTGTGTTCTAAATCCTTTAACAAGAATGAGTGGAAAGAATCTCTGCAATTGAAAACGGAGCAGTTCCCACAGGTGTCAGCAACACTAATAAGGAACCAACGTATACTGGGGCGACTTATAGCGGGGATGTCCTGTATAGATTTGTGGACAGATTTGGCGACAGGGCTTATTGCAGGCATAGGTTCCTGGTGAGTGTATCTGAAGAGTGATGTGTGGCTGCTGGAAAGGTTTTGCTTCAGGGTGGAAGCAAATGAGGGCAAGAGACTGGACTTGATGACCTCTTGAGGTCCTTTCCAGTTCTGGTGTTCTGTGATTTCAAAGGAAGAAGGAACCCGCACCAGCAGGGTCTGCTTTGGTCCCCGCTGGCATGGGTTCCTGCTGCCTCTTTCCTTTTGAAATGTGCAAGAGCTGCCCACGGCCCCTGTACGTTTCAAAGGGAGAGACTTAGCAGGTTCCAGTTATCTCTCCCTTTGAAATGTACAGGGGCCTCTGGTGTGTCTCGTACATTTTAAAGGGTAAGGCAC